GGTGAGGGGAATCAAACAGCAAAGGAACAGGACACAAATGGAAAAGAACGAGTCATGAGTAACTGGAGTGCCTAGGCAGGATATGATATAAGCTCCAGGTATTGGGTTTTCTGTGTGGCTCCTTTGTGTATGTAAAGCCAGCTCAGCAAGCTCTGGGCCTTCTTGGCTTCAAGGATGCAGTGGCCTGAGAAATATTGGGGAAAATATCCACGTCTGTACAACAGACCATAAACCCAATATGTAGCATTCCCTGTAATGAAAAAGAATAACAACATATGAAATTATCACTGATAAAACATTTTATTTAGTCTTTTCTAGGATATGGGAGTGTTTTTTTAAAGCTTTATCCCTGTTAGAATGTTTTCTTATATTCCCTTCACTGAAGTAAATTATTCAAACAGAGCTGTTTTGTTTTATTTGTTTGTTTTTGTTTTTGCAGCTTTATGCCTACCAGGGATTTCATAAACAAGTTGGAAGAGAAAAAATAGCCAGGACATAAATATAGAAATAACCCAATCTGATAAGCTTGCATGAGCATGAGTGAGGGCCTGTGACGAGGATGATTGTATTTTTATGGTAGGCGTGTGAGTCTGATATGAGAAGAAACAGTGATATGGAAAGAAAGGGAGAGTTGCTTCACTATAATTTTCTCATGTACATAAGGCAAAATGACTTGAAATTTACTGTGTGACTTCTGGAACCCAGAAACCTAAAACTGAATGCGAACCGCATAGTCACAGATCAGGGGAAAGCAACCCTAAGCTGTTTAGCAAAATGAGAGGAAGGGGGAATTACTTTGTCATCTTTCCTTACTTTAAAATCATCAGATGTTTCAACTGGAAGGAATCTTAGGGACCATCAGATCCAGCACTCCTGTTTTATGCAAGTGAAAGTGAGATTCAAGAGAAGTTTGATGACTTGTCTTATCTAAGTGAGTGAGTGAGTGAGTGATAATCGCTCAATTGTGTCTGTTTACAACCCCATGGACTGTAGCCTGCCAGGCTCCTCTGTCCGTGGAATTCTCCAGGCAAGAATACTGGAGTGGGTTGCCATTTCCTTCTCCAGTGTCTTATCTAAGGCACTTGACAAACATGACTGGGGACCCGCGTCATCTGATCTATAGTCAGATGCCTTCCAACCAAATGGGCCGTCATGTCTTCAGTCTCTATGCACTCATTTTGGAGAATTCTAACTGCCTCATCCAAACCATGACTTTGTGTGTCATGGTTATCAATGAGCTCCTTAAGTAATTGCTTTGAAGTTGATTTTGTTTATTTCTTTATACTTGGCTGTGCTGGGTCTTCGTTGCTGCTCAAGGGCTTTCTCTAGTTGCAGAGGCTTCTCTTCATTGCGATGTGTGGGCTTCTTATAGCTGTGGCTTCTCTTGTCTTGGAGCATGGGCTCTAGGGCACGCAGGCTTTAGCATTTGGGGCATGAGAGCTCAGTAGTTGTGGCTTGCCAGCTCTAGAGCACTAGCACAGTAGTTGTGGTGCACAGGCTTACTTGCTCTGCGGCAGGTGGGGTCTTCCCAGAGCAGGGATCCAACTCACGTCCTCTGCATTGGCAGGCACATTCCTAACCACTGAACCACCAAGGAAGCACTGAAGTTGATTTTAAAATAATAAATTACTGGATTCTTAGAAATGGTTCTAAAATGTAAGACAGGTTCCCAGAAGTATTCTGGGATTCCCAGGTGACACTTGTGGTAAAGAACCCCCTTGCCAATGCAGGAGATATAGGAGACGCGGGTTTGATCCCTGGGTTGGAAAGATCCCCTGGAGGAGAAAATGACAACCCACTTCAGTATTCCTGCCTGGAGAATCCCATGGACAGAGGAGCCTGGCAGGTTACAGTCCATAGGGTTGCAAAGAGTTTGACACGACTGAAGTGACTTAGCATGTACAGAAGTATTCTGAGTATTCTACAAACACAGAGAAGCTCACTACATAAGTATAGATGCCTCTTCTTAAAAAAAAAAAAAAATTGTTCCTATAAAAATGGCATGATCATATTATTAGGTGTTTGAAGGCTAATAGAATTCTGGGAACTTGTTGGAATGCATAAATAGGTCAAACCAGATCTGCTTAGGTATCCCCTCTGAATTGTCCCTGATACTGGTGGTTTAGTTCTTAAATCACGTCCGACTCTTGCAACCCCATGGACTGTAGCCCCTCTGGCTCGTTTGTCCATGGGATTTCCCAGGCAAGAATACTGGAATGGGTTACTATTTCCTTCTCCAGGGGATCTTCCCCACCCAGGGATCGAACCCACATCTCCTGCATTGCAAGTGGATTCTTTACCACTGAGTCAACAGGCATTCCCCATTCCCTGAATTGTCCCTGAAATGTTCTTAACTGATGTGCTTTTGTAAGGAAGCTCTTCCCACTGCCATCACTATCACCAGTTCCTTTTCTCATCTGCATGGCCAGGTACTACATACTGATTGCCTATCAGGTTTTATTTTTTTTTTTTAATGCTGTACTTGATATTTTACTGATATTTTGTTCAGTATTAGAAGAGAAAGAACACGGTGAGAGTCTGGCATAGTCCAGCTCCCTTCTATGAATAAAAAGTCCATCACTGACAGGCATTCAATAAATACTTATTGAAAGGGGGAAAAAGCATCCATCTTTTCTCTATTAAAAAAAAAATCTCTGGGTCATTTGAAAATATTACCTCTGAACTTCTGATATACAGTGTCATGTGATTTGTTGCACTGCATATGGTTATGATCTGCTTGTCAGCCACAATCCAGAATATTCTTACTATTGCAATGCAAAATAATATAACAATCCACTCTTACATTTCAAATGTGTCTGGCCCCCCAAGTCCTAATTCGAATGCCAAACACACCATTGTGAAGAGTGACCTGAAATTTCAGGTGGGTGTAATCACTTCGCAGTTTTGTACAAGAGCCTGGCTTTTGAGGCTAAGAAGAGGAGAAGAGGCAAACCACCTGCTCTTCCAGAAACAGGAATCATTCAACAGTGCATTCACAGTAGGTAGAGGGAAAAGCCTCTCCTGAAAGAAACTGTGGTGTCTCATGGCTGTTTTTATTAAAACATCTAGTCCACTAACATACCAGCTTTAAGAGCAATTTAATTCACAAAATGAATGAAGTAAGAGTCTAGCCCCATCAGTTACCTTCCACTGCTGTTATGTGGGGGTGATTTAATGGTCAAGACCTCTACTTTCTGCATTTGGATATTCATGAGAAAAATCTAGAACCCATTTCCTTCAGAAACCCTGTCCACATGGCACACAGCAAAGGCTACTAGACAGCAGTAGTTAGAGGTTTTATATCTACTCCCGCCAGGTTTGCAGGCAGCGGTATGGGACATTAGTCATCTTCCTTTGTACTCCTCTCTTCTCGTATATTGTTTTTCTTTCTCTTCTTTCCTCCTCTTATTCACAAATCTTTTGCTTATGGGTGTGAGATGTTTTCCAAAAGGAAATAGGCAGAATAAATTCTATTTTGAGGGCACACACAGCCATCCTGACACATAACTATATCCATATGCCTTTTGTATTCCTAGATAGCTGAAGAGACAACAGAATAACCCAGGTGCTGGTCCTCAAAGTGGGTGTGTCCTAGGGCATTCTTCGGTTTGAAATAGCCAAGCTCACTGTTTCATGTTACTGAACAATCAAAACAGAGAACATTTTCCTTCTGTGGTCCTAGCCCAGATGAGTGACTGGATGTAGCCTGTCGATGATTTTCCAAGAAGTCCTCCCTTGGTCCAACTTCTCTGATATCTAGAGCTATTGGGCTCCTGGGAATGCATACTCCAAAAACATATCCTGAATTGATTGTTCTCAAGATGGTCATGATAAGGAAACGGAGACATGCATGATTCAAATTTAGATTATTTTTTTCTCATACACTTTTTAGCTTGCTAGAGCCTTTTTTTTTTTCCTTCTCAATCAAATGAATGTTTTAAAGGAAAACTTACATTCGTAATTTTTGAGTCATTCCTTTCAGCCTGTCCTCTTATTTTGCTTTTTTGTCATCACCTTAATGGGCAGTGGAGTGGGGGTCATGTATGAAAAGACCTCATCTTGACCTACAAAGCAGAGATTATGTTCATGGGAAAAACACTAGTCTTCAGGTGTGAGGTTCTCTATCCCAAAGGCAGTGACTCAGGGAATAGCACCCAGCAAAGCATTGCCTGCAGAGTGGGACACTGCTGCCATGTTTTCAGTTGCTTTTCACTCTTCAGAATTTTGCATAATGACTATAGCCAGGAACCTTTAAGATATCTTTCTCTGGTCACACAGAAAGGACAGGAGAAAAAGTTCTGGCAAGATTAAACCTACCTGCTGTAAGCTAGTTTCAAATTCAGTAAAATTTCTACTTCCCAGCCCCTGCACTCCCTCCTGTCTTTGGGGTCTGGGGGTTTTATACAGTCATAGAATGCTAGAGGAAGTATGTTTGGATTCCTTACTGTTTCATATACTTTAAAGAAGAATGCTTGATTCTTACAATCTATAAAACTTACTTTAGTTAAACATGTTGGTCCTCAGGTCCTGTGATGCATGATTATTCAATATGTTTTAAAATCCTCCGAAGTCAATTGTGTTGTCCCCTTTTTCCCTCTGCCTCCTCCCTGTCTGCCTCACTTTACTGTGAGTAGTGTGTGTGTGTGTGTGTGTGTGTGTGTGTGTGTGTGTGTGTGTGTGTCTGGGAGGAAGACAGACTCTTTACCTGTAAATGTCTTGCTATTATTAGACGTTCAGTTATCAGGGGTTATGTAAGACAATTGAAGCTCTGTTTTTTAACAGAGACATGATTCATGCTGCTTGTAGTAACAGTAACCACCTCTAAACGAGACGGAAACCAGATGCAGACAAAGGCTGGAGAGATCAATGCCGACTCAGTACAGCCACTCTGCTGATACCCTCTGTCTTTCAATCAGAGCACTTAGGTTATCCAGAGGGGAGGCTCCTGCTCTTTTGGGATCTATTCTGTCTCCTGGGGCTGCCAGGTGAAGGCGCATGGGATGGAGCTGTGTGTGCAGGAGAAAGCTGGGCCTGGGGAGCAGGGCGGTCTGACCGCCTTCCCCCTCTTCCTGTACTGCCCTCCCCAGGCCTCCCCAGTGTTTCAGACACACCTGGAGGAGCAGTGGTTGTCACCTACAGGGTGGCTCAGGATTCTCTGTGGCTTCTACTCGGCAAAGCTGGAACTTAAACGTTTGGCTCACCTACTCAAGTTAACTTCACTTCGGTGACACTGTGCAGCTCCCTGGAAGGGGAGGGGTTTGAGCCTCTGCCAGTGCTCTGTTATAGCTTATCCCCAAACCTGAGTGGAAGTGGACTGGCTGTATGTGTGGACACACACAGAGGCCCTTCCCTAATCCCTCCAGTGGCCATTCTTTGAGACTATGTTGATTCCATAGTTCACAGAATGCAAAGCACTTCAGTGTACATCAGCTTATTTTAGTTCACAACTTTGGGAGATAGGCCACACACACATTATTAACCAATATCATTTTACAGGTGAAAGATTTCATGGCTAAGGAGGCAATTATGTCATTCATTGTTTCCTCATTCATGATTTTATAAGACTCAGAAAGAAAAGTTAGTGACTTGACCAAGATCACACAACTAGTATTTATCAGATCCAGGATCACCACCTCGTGCATCCCCACCTCGTGCTCTACTTCTCAGATTCGCCACAAAGCTTGTTGGCAGCCATGGACACTTTGGGTGATAAAAGGGGATTTTCTGCTGAAAATCACATTTTTTAGATTAAACTATACTGCTCATTAGCTGGGCAACTTTACTCTCCCTCCCCAGCCCCAAGCTTCTCATATATGTAAACTCATGGTGGGGAGAATTCACTTTTAAAAAGTGTCCATGGAAGTACCACATAAGTTTTGATGTGTCTAACTCAATGCAAAGATTGCCAATAGTATCCCCTTGTCTCTACCACGAATGACAACAGGAGAAAGATGTAGAAATCTCAGATTTCACCTAGAATATAAAAGTTAACTATTTTTACCACAAAGAGAAGAAATTAAGATACTGTACTGCAGAAACTGCCCATGGTTCTCAGATGGCAGCAACCTTGACCTGGTGGCCTAGGACACATTCAAAAGTCAGGTCACCCTTCATTTTCACTCTCAAATGTGTAAATTGTCCAGAATGGCAACTCTGAACAGGGGCATGACAGGAAAATAGCTAAGCCATTTAGCTTCACCAACCCAGTAATCTCCCACAATAAAAATTCCAGTTTTAAAAATGCTTATTTATTGATTATTGCTACTAATACTCTCATACATTGTTATGAATTTTAATGAAGGACCAACACAGAATTTTCTATTATAGCATTTTTTACCTTTATCCTACTATTTTCATACATTATATAATACAATCTGTACCTATTTTGAAGTAAGCCTAAGTAAAACATTCCCGTTTATAGTTTTTAATTAGATCTTTGGTTTGCATACCACTTTTTATCCAGAAAGACAGCAAAATATTTCACAAGCTGTACCTTAATGAAATGCATTTTCTCCTCTACCAAAATGTGAAAATCATAAGTTGCTGCAGTTTTAAGGGAGAAAGATATACTCTGTTTCTCTCATAATCAAACTCCCTGACTAGGCATCAAGAGAACAAATTTCTAGTCCTAGCCTCACTGCAAGCTCACTATTAGGGAATCCATTAAGTCTTAACTTCAGATAACATCTAATTTGAAAAACTCAAAGCTTAATATCTGGTTATTGCAGACCTACCTGAGACTTAAAACCTGCTCAGCAGCCCATGTGATTGGGCAGTAAAGGAGCTTTACGGGAATGAGCCAGTTCATTGGGGCTACAAGTTGTGCTGGTGGCAGCCAGATTGTCTTGACGTCTTCAGTGCAATGTGTCTTGAGACTGACCCGAAGAATTAGAGATGGGAAGCCACCTGGAAGGCAGGAGCACATTTGGTCCATTGTCGTCTTGCTAGTGATTACCACCCTGCAGAATGGCATACTCTGGATTCCAGCGCTGAGACAAGGAGCAGTGATAATCCTCTCATGAGACTGACTTCCTTCTGTAGAAAAAAGAGGCTTGTTTTTACCATCTAGATACCATAATACAATGATTGTGAATAATGATTGCATCACTGGTAGAGAGGCATTTGTTCCACTGGTTTTGGATTATTTTAGCTTTCTCTTTATTTGCTGTCAATTAATGCATAGTCTCATCTTTACCTTAAGGACAGAGCTGCCTTTGCTCTTCCAGATCTGGTTTTCATCTCCCCAAAGCATACAAGTTTCTATTTATGGAGGTGATAATGGCAATAGTGAATGGTGCTTCTTCCCCACAAGGTGGTGGTATACTCACCTGGGCCTTTAGCATATTAAATTGTCTCCATAGCTACAGAAATCAAGTATTTACCTAACATACCCCAGTGTTAACTATCTCTGTTCCTGACTACTATTAACATGATTATAACCCCCTAGTATTGCAACAAAGGGTGACCCTGGGTGCTGGAATTTTTGTAATGTGTAAACCAAGGTCCATGTCCTGGAGAATTTGCATTCTTACCAAGTGATAGAGGAAACAGGGGTTAAACTATAACCATTTACCTAAGTGTTATTATACGAGTAGCAGAGGTCAACTTGGGCTTAAGCAATTTTCCTAAGTTACATGATTTGATATAGGCCTTGAAGGAAGGAAAGGTCTAGATGAGAAAAAGATCATAGAGGCCTTGCCAACAGCCAAAATGGTATGTTCAGGGGCTCAGAGATACAAACGTGCTTAGTCTTTCTGACATTCTGCAAGTTAACTAGGTTAAACCAAATCGAGTATTGAAGGAAAGGAAATCTGAGAGGGCTTATTTGATATAGATTCCGTGAACTAACATACCCAGGCTAATGAGTTTAGAACCAGGAGAAATCTACTAAAGCATCTTTTCTCTAAGCATATTCTGAAGTTACTAAATGTGCCATTAGAAAAACTGGGGAATAAGGGGTGGGTCTGTAATCCTATAAGTTTGGACAATGTGCATTTTGAGTTTATAAGAGAGACATATAGTATTCAGTGTTTCCTGTATTTGTTTGACTAAAGGACTTTTTTGAGGTTCATCTTGAAGTTCTAGTGTTCTATAAAACTCACTTTGAGATACACCACCTGATAAGATTTTGAAGGGCAAGAGCAGATGACAGAGAAAAATATTATACTTTATGATCAATTTAGTACTGTTGTGAGTGAATATGTCTTTAAGTACAGAGGAAAATACCAATGATGGAACCAAATGAGTGAGTGAAAGTTGCTCAGTCGTGTCCAACTGTTTTGCAACCCCATGGACTGTAGCCCACCAGGCTCCTCAGTGTATGGGAATTCCTAGGCAGAATACTAGAGTGGGTTGCCATTGCTTTCTCCAGGGGATCTTCCTGACCCAGGAATTGAACCAGTGTCTCCTGCATTGAAGGCAGATTCTGAGCTACCATCTGAGCTACCAGGGAAGCCCAAAGGGAAGGAGAGGATAACCTCCAAGATAGGAGGAGATTGTAGAAAAGGTATCGATATATCTTAAGGAAACAACATGAGAAAACTTCAGAGATATTGGAGATGGAGGTGAGCGCTTGTGAGCTTACCACACTAGATGGTGTATTTCCTCTTACTAATGTAGGAGGCAAGATCATCAACTGAAAAAGAGAAAGAAGAATGAGACTTGATAAAGTAAAACATATGAGGAAAAACTACTGTAGGCTTGTACTTAGAAGCAACACTAAGCAGGAGTGAGATTACAGATGGTATGCAGATGTGGAGTTTTGAACTAAGAGTGGCAGGAAATGGTGAGTGGTGATACGGATTCGTGATTGAATAACGTAAGAAGAGGCCCTGTACATAGAAAATTGGGGGAGCAAGGAAATCTGGAGAGTTACTGAGAATAGTGTTGAAATGGTTGATCCTGGGGTAAGGTCAGAATGAACAGACATTTAGTGAAGTCAGCAAGAGCCTACTAATGGACCAGGTGAAAAGTGAAGTTTCTTTGGGCATTAAGGAAGGGAAGTTCTCAAGCTAAGGCTGGAACATTTGAGATCAAATGGGAGGCTTCAGAAGAATAATTTGGAATGAGAATGAGGGCCAAAAAGTAGCTAGAAAAATGATGATAAAGATTTGTTGAACAAAACATGGTAATGGGTTTGGATTGATGTAGTAATCAAAGTAAGGAAGGAAAACATAAATCAAGTAGAGAAGGTTTTGGAAAAGGTTAAAAAAAGATTTAAGGTGGCAATAGTGGACCATGATGGAGAATCTAATACCATAAGTCTATGATGAGGACCTCAAATGAACAGCAGTGGAATGAAAGCAGGAGAGCAGCTGTTTAGCAATCACAAGCTTGGTGTAGGTTAAGCCCCAGAGCACTGTGCTTAAAATCTGGCCCTAGAGCCCTGCTTTGCTACCCTCTAGCATCATGATCTATGGCAAAAAAACTTCACCTTTCTTAAACATCAGTTTCCTCATGAGTAAAATCAGAAAATTCCCACATCCGAAGAGTGAGTATAAGAGACAAGTTGTTGTCCAGCTCTTTGCAACCTCATGGACTGCAGTACACCAGGCTTTCCTGTCCATCACCATCTCCACCAGCTTGCTCAAACTCATGTCCATTGAGTTGGTGATGCCATCCAATCGTCTCATCCTCTGTCATCCCCTTCTCCTCCCGCCTTCAATCTTTCCCAGCATCAGGGTCTTTTCTAATGAGTCAGCTCTTTGCATGAGGTGGCCAGAGTGTTGGAGCTTCAGCTTCAGCACCAGTCCTTCCAATGAATATTCAGGATTGATTTCCTTTAGGATTGACTGATTTGATTTCCTTGCAGTCCAAGGGACTCTCAAGAGTCTTCTCCAATACCACAGTTCAAAAGCATCAATTTTTTGGCCCTCAGCCTTCTTTATGGTCCAACAGATAAGTTAAATAATATATTAAAAGTGCCAAGCACAAGACCTGCTGCACAGTAAGCATTTTATAATGGTAGCCACACTATTATGGAGGCTAAAGGAGCAGGGAAAAGAAAGGGGTTTTTGCTTTGGGGACAGTGACAGTATCTTCTTTCAGGTAATGCCATTTTGATGTTTCTCCATTTAGACACAATGCAATGATTATTCCAGAAAATACACTCAGTGCAAGGGG